CAGACTACTGGATGGGACAGAAAATTTCTAGGAATTTTTTGGGGTAGACCACTCCAAAAAATTCTGGATATATTGGGCCCATCCTTCACTGGATGCTCCATTGTGTGCCTAGCCAAACCCATAATGGAGTTGATAAAAAGGCCATCTTAATGCCCATAGGACAAACAGTAAGGGAAAAAATGAAGGTAAATGACAAATTTTCAATATAGTTTTCATTTTCTTTACAGTCCATCTATGCATTATTTCAAGAATAGATGCTCTTTACTTCAACACGTTTACCGAGCAGTTCAGCTAAAAATTTTAATGCTTTGTTCACTTGAAAAATCATTTAACACAAAATGTAAATTCACAACTGATTTTACAACAATGATCTTTAGACAAGTATTTTCAGACATTTTACTTGAAGCATCTAGTGTGGAACATTGTCTCTTTTTTTTAGTCTTCTTCTTTGAAAGTTTACAAAGATCTATTTTTTTGTTGAATTTAATAATTTATTATTTAATAATGTTTATTTAAAAAAGTAGACAGTAAAATCTTGGTGTTGTATGGCAATAGGAATAAATAGGAGAGAGAATAACTGCATTAACTTTACCAATCCCCACAATAAATTATTGCTAGATCTCATAGTATACAGTGGTACGTCAGGTTACGAACGCCCCAGCATACAAAACTTTCATATGACATGAAAATTCGAACATATTTTTGCTCCACGATACGAACAAAAACTCACCATACGACGTTACATTAGTTCGCATTTTTCGTTTGTTTTTCTTACTACAATTATTTTTTTTAATGTATTACTTGGCTTTAATTTGAGTATGTTTTTCGCGTTGGAACGAATTATTTGGTTTTACATGTAATCATATGGGAAAAGATGATCCACCTTACGACATTTTCATGATACGATCTCAGTTTCGGAACAGATTAATTTCGTATCCTGAGGTACCACTGTATTTTTGAATGCTTGAATATTCTTGAATTGTTGAATATTTTTGACAACTTGCATGCACTGGAACAAAATCCTAGTAACTAATGAAACTACAAATTTTTTTCATAGATGTTGAACCTTATACATTGATGTAGTTTTGCAAATTGTCTTTTTGTTCACAAAATGACAAACCATGGTTAAATTAAAAAATACTTCACTTTTATAATTAATTTCTGTTACTATCAGAATATCAGTAAAACTAGCATTTAATAATAATACTAAAATATTTTAATCTATTAAGAAATTAATTGCAGGCAAAAGGTATTCTATACATACTTTACAAAGTATATATAATATAGTATAGCACTTACCTGTTATTATTTACACAACTTTCACAATTGCACCCACATTCCTGAAATGAAAATGATTATAAGATACAGAAACTCCTAAACTAATATTATGTTATCAAATTCAGAAATTAATTCTTACAATATAAATATTTAAAAAGTAATGTTAAGCTTTATCATTACAGAAATAATAATCTCTGAATTATTCTAGTATTTTTAGCCAAAGAAAACTTTATTAAAACATTAGTGTTAATGTTGTGTTTGAATACATTGAAGCTTAAATGTTTAAGACTTCATTTGGATTCAAAGAATACATAAATAAAAGGGAACAATTTATTAGATTGAGTTTCACTAGATAATTAATCTTGAATTAAGTGAAAATCAAATTTATTTAAAATTTTTGTTTTTTTAAAAAAAAGCATGAAAAATATCTTCAACTATACAAATGTTACATCTATACATTTTTTCCTGTTTTAATTATCTCTCTCAGCCTTTTCCTAATGTAATCTATTTTGGCTGTGTTTCCCAAAGAAAATAAATTTTCCAAGAATGTTTAAAGCTTTAGAGAAAAATTTTCTATGATTATGAAATTGTATGGAGTATGTCATGGTAAACATGGTATGAAGAAAAAATATTACTTTTTTTGTATCAGAGACCATTTTTTCAAATATCTAAATTAATTTACAAAATAAGTTAATTTTTACAAAAAATATTTGGTTAATATTATTACATATTAGTACACTGTTATAAAAATATTAAAAAATTTGTTTTTTAAACTACTTTCTATATTTAATATAAAATATAGAAAGTTATATTAAAGAATTATTATTTAATAAATGTAATAAAAATTTAAAATTACCTGGCACATGTATTTTTGTTCAGCCATTATAAGTACAATAACTTAAGAAATAATCAGCAATTAAGATCATTAAAATCATCAGAAAAATGCTGGAAAGAAATAAAATAAATTGACTGAAATGAAATTTTCATTCTATAAACTTTATACATAAAATTATGCTTATTTTCAGTTTTAATTTCAAAATTATCTTTATGTAAACTGATGTCATGTCAGTTTTATAATCAATGACTATTTACAGAAATCAGTTTAATAAATTATATTGTAAATTACTAAATGTTAAAGATTTATTATTAAAATAATTCTTTGTCGTCTTAATATTATCAACTAAAAGAAATTTAAGTTTTAATTATTTATTAACTCTAATTTTTATTTTTATACTTAATATCAACAGTATTTATGTTATCAATTCCAATGTAGCATATTTGGTTTTCTACTACGTTCTTATCAGTTATTGCATTATACTAATTATAAATATTTAATTTCTTAGTTTAAACATAATGTCAGATAACAAAAATAAAATGTATATTATTGTGACATCACAAATGCCAAGCTTGTAATTTTTAATCAATCTTTTAATTTAAAAGATCACATGAAATCTGGTCCAGTTTGTATACAGTTAATTTGGGCTTCTTGTTCCTAAGCTTTCCATATCTGATGTACACACACACACAAAAATATAAACATCCAAACCCAATAGTTATATATTAAAGCCAAATGATTGCCGAATTATATTGGGCTATACTACTACTATTATAATAGTAATACATAATGTGATATAATTCAGTAATCATTTGATTTTTCCATGTCTAGTCTCAATTTTCATTTACAGTAGAGCCTCAATTATCTGACTCAATTGGGGACTGGGGTTGGTCGGATAATTGAAAAGTTGGATAACCGAAAAGTATGAAAAAATCATTATTAGTGTAGTATATTATTATATCCCATGTAATTACTATATCGCTATTAATCTACTTCATGTTGAATTTTCATCAATGTTAAGCCTAACAAAAATTTTTTAAAATAATAATCGTCACTATTGTATCGTTAAAAATTAGAAAATTAAGCCTCGTTTAAATACTGGCTCCCTTTCATGGTCGAATAAGTGTTGCCAGCTAAAACACGTAAAAATAATATTAAAGTAGCCAAGACATAGCCAAATATTGTAGCGCCACATCACTAGTGGACATTTGAAATTTGCCGACCAGGATGGTCAGTTAACCGAGGTGTCAGTTAATTGGGGGGTCGGATAATCGAGGCACTACTGTAACTAACTCTTCTTGAGATAACAAAGGACAGATGACAATGGAACTTTATAGGTATGCAATTTGAAAATTTCAGCCCAATAAATCATCAAATTCCATTGAGAACTTTCAATTATATAAAGCAAGAAATGAATACAATAAAAGACTAAACGACTTTTATATTAAGTATAGCAGAACTTCAATTATCCAAGTCTTGATTAACTGAGATTCTTGCAGAGAAAACTCTTAATGAATACACTACTTTTGTTATGCTGTAATTCATAAAAGCCTAAAACAATAATATGTATACAAAATGGTTTGTTTCTGTTACCTTTTATCACTTAACTTCAATATAAGACAAACCCATTCATAGTAGAATGTAACTATAATATTACAATAATTACTCTTAAAACTATTGTACATATCGATTATAAGATGTAAAAAAAATGTTATTCTTTTATACATAATCGTATATTAATTATCAATAAAATATTAATGAATTTAATTTCATATTAATTAAATTCATTAAAGTATAAAGAAAGGCTTAAAGATGATACCTTAAAAATCTTTTATATTCGTAGCTTTTAATCCAAAATGGTTGTGGCTGTCTGTTTTATACAAATTTTTGGTTATCCGAGGTAGCATTGGTCCACATTAGAACTTTGTGATTAATTTTGATAATTTATTTTCTATTCAATCATATAAGTGAATAAGTAATAGCTGTTACCTGCAACTTTGCCCGTGCTGATTTTGCAAGCAAACCCCATTTATATTCAGTATTTCAACAATCATAGTAATTGTTATATAACACCTATCGCTGAGAATAATGAGAACTGTTGAGAATCAAACAAACTATTTTCACTTTGATCGATTTTCTGGAATGTTTACAATCATTCTATAATCAAACCAATATGCAATAACAAATTCAAATTTAAAACAGTTCGAACATTTGGTTAAAAATCGAAATATATAAAAATATTTATAACAATGTCCAAAATGTTATCAATTTANGAAATTCGAACATATTTTTGCTCCACGATACGAACAAAAACTCACCATACGACGTTACATTAGTTCGCATTTTTCGTTTGTTTTTCTTACTACAATTATTTTTTTTAATGTATTACTTGGCTTTAATTTGAGTATGTTTTTCGCGTTGGAACGAATTATTTGGTTTTACATGTAATCATATGGGAAAAGATGATCCACCTTACGACATTTTCATGATACGATCTCAGTTTCGGAACAGATTAATTTCGTATCCTGAGGTACCACTGTATTTTTGAATGCTTGAATATTCTTGAATTGTTGAATATTTTTGACAACTTGCATGCACTGGAACAAAATCCTAGTAACTAATGAAACTACAAATTTTTTTCATAGATGTTGAACCTTATACATTGATGTAGTTTTGCAAATTGTCTTTTTGTTCACAAAATGACAAACCATGGTTAAATTAAAAAATACTTCACTTTTATAATTAATTTCTGTTACTATCAGAATATCAGTAAAACTAGCATTTAATAATAATACTAAAATATTTTAATCTATTAAGAAATTAATTGCAGGCAAAAGGTATTCTATACATACTTTACAAAGTATATATAATATAGTATAGCACTTACCTGTTATTATTTACACAACTTTCACAATTGCACCCACATTCCTGAAATGAAAATGATTATAAGATACAGAAACTCCTAAACTAATATTATGTTATCAAATTCAGAAATTAATTCTTACAATATAAATATTTAAAAAGTAATGTTAAGCTTTATCATTACAGAAATAATAATCTCTGAATTATTCTAGTATTTTTAGCCAAAGAAAACTTTATTAAAACATTAGTGTTAATGTTGTGTTTGAATACATTGAAGCTTAAATGTTTAAGACTTCATTTGGATTCAAAGAATACATAAATAAAAGGGAACAATTTATTAGATTGAGTTTCACTAGATAATTAATCTTGAATTAAGTGAAAATCAAATTTATTTAAAATTTTTGTTTTTTTAAAAAAAAGCATGAAAAATATCTTCAACTATACAAATGTTACATCTATACATTTTTTCCTGTTTTAATTATCTCTCTCAGCCTTTTCCTAATGTAATCTATTTTGGCTGTGTTTCCCAAAGAAAATAAATTTTCCAAGAATGTTTAAAGCTTTAGAGAAAAATTTTCTATGATTATGAAATTGTATGGAGTATGTCATGGTAAACATGGTATGAAGAAAAAATATTACTTTTTTTGTATCAGAGACCATTTTTTCAAATATCTAAATTAATTTACAAAATAAGTTAATTTTTACAAAAAATATTTGGTTAATATTATTACATATTAGTACACTGTTATAAAAATATTAAAAAATTTGTTTTTTAAACTACTTTCTATATTTAATATAAAATATAGAAAGTTATATTAAAGAATTATTATTTAATAAATGTAATAAAAATTTAAAATTACCTGGCACATGTATTTTTGTTCAGCCATTATAAGTACAATAACTTAAGAAATAATCAGCAATTAAGATCATTAAAATCATCAGAAAAATGCTGGAAAGAAATAAAATAAATTGACTGAAATGAAATTTTCATTCTATAAACTTTATACATAAAATTATGCTTATTTTCAGTTTTAATTTCAAAATTATCTTTATGTAAACTGATGTCATGACAGTTTTATAATCAATGACTATTTACAGAAATCAGTTTAATAAATTATATTGTAAATTACTAAATGTTAAAGATTTATTATTAAAATAATTCTTTGTCGTCTTAATATTATCAACTAAAAGAAATTTAAGTTTTAATTATTTATTAACTCTAATTTTTATTTTTATACTTAATATCAACAGTATTTATGTTATCAATTCCAATGTAGCATATTTGGTTTTCTACTACGTTCTTATCAGTTATTGCATTATACTAATTATAAATATTTAATTTCTTAGTTTAAACATAATGTCAGATAACAAAAATAAAATGTATATTATTGTGACATCACAAATGCCAAGCTTGTAATTTTTAATCAATCTTTTAATTTAAAAGATCACATGAAATCTGGTCCAGTTTGTATACAGTTAATTTGGGCTTCTTGTTCCTAAGCTTTCCATATCTGATGTACACACACACACAAAAATATAAACATCCAAACCCAATAGTTATATATTAAAGCCAAATGATTGCCGAATTATATTGGGCTATACTACTACTATTATAATAGTAATACATAATGTGATATAATTCAGTAATCATTTGATTTTTCCATGTCTAGTCTCAATTTTCATTTACAGTAGAGCCTCAATTATCTGACTCAATTGGGGACTGGGGTTGGTCGGATAATTGAAAAGTTGGATAACCGAAAAGTATGAAAAAATCATTATTAGTGTAGTATATTATTATATCCCATGTAATTAGTATATCGCTATTAATCTACTTCATGTTGAATTTTCATCAATGTTAAGCCTAACAAAAATTTTTTAAAATAATAATCGTCACTATTGTATCGTTAAAAATTAGAAAATTAAGCCTCGTTTAAATACTGGCTCCCTTTCATGGTCGAATAAGTGTTGCCAGCTAAAACACGTAAAAATAATATTAAAGTAGCCAAGACATAGCCAAATATTGTAGCGCCACATCACTAGCGGACATTTGAAATTTGCCG